ATGCTTCTCCCTAATTGTACTTTTATAATTAAAAACTATTTAGTTTGATATTGTTGTAGCCATACTAGCTTTCTTTTAATTAGCATTCTCCTATTGTATATTTCCTCATTATTTTATTTGCCAAGAGATTGGATCTGGGAAAGTTGTGCCCAGCTTTAGCTCAGCCCCAGGATCTCATGTGGGCTCTCCTTCAGAGTCACACTTCTCTGATGGAAGGACCAGTATAATCATGGGATGCAGCTTGCACTTTTTGTGTCCTACTTTTTAAATAGTCCATGAGGGCCTAGTGCTGTGCTCAGGGCCACCCAAAAGAAGGAATTTGTCGTTGATAGTTTTTTCCAGGGAGCTGGACTGGGCCCCAAAGCCATGCTGGTAAGTTTTCTGCAGACCACTTCTCTGTGGCTTTCACATTTTGGGGTAGAATTGGGGCTTCTCTAAACTGTGACTGAAGAATAAGTGTGAATGAATGTTCTTCTCTTCCTGAGAGATGTTCGGGCCATAACAACAAAAAGAGTTTGTTGTTCTGGACTTTTCTGCGTGTCAGACATTGTACATGGTGCTTTATGTAGATTAACTCATTTATTCTGAAAACAACCCTAAAGCATATATTCTTATCACCCTTTTTCTGATGGAGAAACTGAGCTCCAAGTGTGTATGACTTGCTTGAGGTGACACAGCAGTCTGATAAAGCCAAGACTGAAACCCATAAGTCTGACTCATGTCCTTGACCCTGTTTCCTAGATATGAGTATTTTGTCACTGATCTTGGACATTGAGTCACCTCTAGTGCACACCATGTCCTGCCTTTGGAGGAACGCTTCCCACCTCTTCATGGTTTGGTGCCCCCATGGACCATTCAGGGAGGAGAAGAGACAGAGAGGGATTGACAGAGAGCCTCCCTGGTAGGATCTCCCAAGAGCCCTTCCTCACTCACTTCCCTCTTCGTGGCTGCTGATGCATTCTTCCCACTCCTTGCTGCCAGGGTCTCCCAAAGACACTGGCCTATTTATCTCCTTTAAGTTTACTTTGCTCATTGGTCTTCTCCCCGCCACCTTTGACCTAGAGCAAACCTAGACAGATCCCTTGCTCATCTTCCCAGGCTCCTAAAAAGGAATTGTACACCCAACTGGACCGACATGTCTTCCTTGCACTCAAGCTGAGGGCTGCCTGCTTGGCTCTTCCTGCACTGGGAATACCAGACCAGGAAGGCCTCAGCTTTCCTTCAGAGGAGATGGTTTCTCTAAGAGAGAAGGGTATAGATTTGGGGAGAGAAAGGAGGTACTTTAAATGTATAAAGGAGCATTTTTGGTAATAACTGAAGAGATGCAACTCTTGCTTCTATCTTCTCTATCACGGCTTTAGAGAAGAGGTAGCATAAAGCATGATACAGTGGTCAGAGGAAAACCCAGTAAAGTCATCCTCCTGGGCTCCTGGGGCACTTGCTTCATCTTTGCCACGCCTCCAGTCAAATTCCAGATTTTGATCACCACCCAAATCCTATAGTTAGACAAAAGTTCCTGCCAGTAAGCCTTGAACAAGTTACAAGGGAGCAGGGGCACATCAGTCTACTGTAAGGCCCCAATATAACTTTGAGGAAGGCAATAGGTATCATAATGGACCCAGAAGAAAGACCACTGGGGCCAGGAGTCTGAGAACTTATAACCCAACCCTGTCACCAAGGGTCAACTCGGTATAGCCTTTGACAATCCAGACCCAGCCTGCCCTGCTTATCCACAGGGAGGCATGGGGGAATTAGAAACTCTTACTGAACCACATGACGTCTTTAACACCCTTCCAACTGGGAATCATCCACGATTCACTCACTCCTTGTAATATCTGCCATTTCATCAACACTGTGGGCCAGGCGTATTGATGCGTTATCACACTCAGCCCTCCCCCAACAACACAGTGAGGTCGTTTCCATTATCTTCCTTTTCAGAAATGGGGAGAGTAACTTGCCAAGATGTCAGAGCTGGTTGGGAAGGAGGAAGGATTTGGATCTGTGTCTGTCTAACCCCAGAACGGATAGATACTCTTTCTTGTCCATCACTCAGCCTCTGGCACTTGACCAGTTTACTCAGCCTGCGGCCCCTCAAAAGAAAGTAAAAGACACAGATAGATGGAAACTCTGCCCAGAAAATGGGCACTTCCGGAGCAAAACGGCCATAGTGACGGGCCTTGCAAACAACATCTTCCAACCAGTAAGCACAGGGCCATCTCCCTTCTACAAAGAGGCTCCCTTTTGTCCACAGAGCCCTACACAGAAACAATAACTCTATCACCCAGGAAACCACAGAACAAAGGGAGGGAGATAGATACAGACAGAATAGGATATAAATAAGATGCCGCACGGGCAGAGAGGGGCAAATGATTTAAAGGCAGAACACACCAGGATATTTGACGTGCAGGCTTTTAAATTATGCCCACACTCCTTATATGAGGTGTGTACACAAATGAGTCTGTATTTTCAACTACGTCACATGTCCTGTTTTGCAACCAAAAACAATATTTGTGCTTCATGTCCTGCACTGTGGTGTTTTATACACAGAATTACCTGGCACCGCTCCTGTCCCCAAGATGCAAATTAACGTTTTTCATGGAGTTGGGGCGGGGGGGGGGGGGGGGGGGGGGGGGGG